AAAGGGAAATGTCATATGGAGATGAGATGAGTCATTTATGCAGTGGTCCAGGTCTTCTGCACTAGTCTCAGTGTCCCCAGGAACCATGCACTCATAAGGTTTTTGCAGTTAGCCACCCAACTCCCTTCCAATATGGTGATAAAATCTGAAGAGGGGGAATCTCAGCTCTACTCTCCCTTCCCAACCACAGCTCCTACCCATGTTACACTGCTCTGTGGTGGAGCTTTTCCTGGCCTGTGTCACGGAGCCACAACATACACACCTTTCACAAGCAATTTTGTCCACTGCCTTCTCCCATCAGTATCTCCTAGTCAAGGGGGTAGAGGGCAAGGGCAATAAAATTTATGCTCAGTGAGACTGGCTTTTGCCACAGTCAGGCTGACGCAGCATGGATACAATCATATTCTCTTTTGAAGAGTCCATGAAATGAATATAGGGTCCAGTTTAAAACTCGGAAGCAGTCCTGTTGAATATATTAGGGATAACATGCAAAACCTTCTCCATAAACTCAAACCATACCTGAAGCAAGCTTTTTGGAGATCAAACAGAGCTTGGTTAATTTCTTTTCCCCTTGCATAATGACAGGTTTCAAAGTAGCAGTCGTGTTAGTCTGAATCCGCAAAAAGAAATGGAGTACTTGTGGCACCTTAAAGACTAACCAAATTTATTTGAGCATAAGCTTCGTGAGCTACAGCTCTGAATGCATCCGATGAAGTGAGCTGTAGCTCACGAAAGCTTATGCTCAAATAAATTTGTTAGTCTCTAAGGTGCCACAAGTACTCCTGTTCTTTTTCCCCTGTTATTTTTCATTATTTGTGCACCTGCGTGCTTCTGGGCTTTGGCTAGGAGTGGAAGAAGAAATGTCAGAACAATGCCAGAAAGGCCAAACTTTTGCTGTTTTCTGAAGCTGGCTGCACCAGAAGTCTCCTGAGATTTCCAGATCATTTTTGGAGACAGATACCTTTCAAATAAGGATCAGCATTTGGTTGTTGATCCAGACTTTGAAAATTTCACCTACCACCATTATAAATATATTTACATGAAAGGGAACTCTCTGGTGTGAGATACTTCTATATCACGTAACAGCCTCTTGTTGAAAATGACACAAATGGCCCACCTTGATTATCAAACACGTTGTAAGGAGAGTGATCACTTTACATAAGCTATTACCAGCAGGAGAGTGGGGTGGGGGGAGAGAGAACCTTTTGTAGTGATAAACACCCATTTTTTCATGATTTGTGTGTATAAAAACAAACATCTTCTGTATTTTCCGCAGTATGCATCCGATGAACTGAGCTGTAGCTCACGAAAGCTCATGCTCAAATAAATTGGTTAGTCTCTAAGGTGCCACAAGTACTCCTTTTCTTTTTGCGAATACAGACTAACACAGCTGTTACTCTGAAACATAACAAATAGTGAATCTTTCCAGAAGAACCTCATTAAACCTGGGTTCACTTGCAGCCTAATGTGCTTGTTTGTTTAAGTATCATTTAAGTACGAAACACTTCAGAGTTCAATCAACATATTAGTCACACTTGGAAAACACACATTTTTAACTATGATTTAATATTTATGTGCATTACACAGCCTTTTTATTAATTGCTTCAAACAAAAACATCCCTGCTCAATATGTAGTGTTGTGTTTTCTACTGTCTCTTGACATTAAAGTTAATCAAGTAGCTCTTTGTGCAAACTCCTACAAGAAGTGCCTCTCTGCAACATGCTAGGTTTGTGAGTCAGTTTTACTCATTGTAATACTGCCCAAGACAGACAAGATCTCTGAAAGTATAACACCTAATGTAATTAGTTAGATATTGGCCATCATGAGAACAATGTATCCTATACTTGACTGTGTTTCAACACCTATTGCAGTTCGAGTTATTAGAAATCAGTGGGAGTTGGGCGCTTAAATATATTTAAGAATGCCTCCCCAAATTCTTATTAAAATGTAACAGCTCACAATAGCATCACTACTAAAAAAGTACATATGATCAGTACTGAATTATTATATTATCTTTCTTACGGTGACATGTAGGACCTCAGTCATTGAACAGGACCCCATTGTGCTAGGCACTGTACAAACACAGAACAAAAACATGATGAGAGATGTAATGTATATCTGCTCTTCCCTATTCATGATTTGTCTGCAAAGTATGTTTAAATTTATTTATTCTGTGAATATTTCTTGGTCTCTAGGTGTTTCATTGCAAGATTTCAGTTTTCAAACACTGTCCTCTTGATTGCATAGCAGATTTCCTTTCCTTGATTGGATGAGCTGTATAATCCTTTGAATTTGATGTCTGCTGTGACTAAACAATTTGTTTGCTTTTCCATTCATGTTCTTCAGTGTTCACTTGAAATTCATTTTCTGAACACTCCTGCTAGTTATTTTGTTAAAATATTTGTGGAAAACAAACACCAAAGGTAGGGTTAGAACACAGCCGTGCAGGCTTTTTCTCTATGATGGAGTATTTGCAGGGTTTTTTTGTTTCGTTTTTGTTTTTTTTAAGTATTCAATCAGTTCTACTTATTTTCATGTTTTGGACAGTTGCTCCAACACTTTAAGCTACATTATAGGGATAGATTAAACACACCTGAGTCTAGGTTTTTATTTTTAGAAACAAAGTGGAGATTTAACATTTTGTCTTCAAGGGAACAGAGTTTTCAAATGCACAAACCAGTACAGCAGAGCATGATGCACAGAACCAGGTTTACACCTTCCTTTTATTCCCAAATTTTTTTTCCCCCTGTATTGCCTAAACCGCCACAAATGTAATTTGGACAGTTTATTTATTCTTTGATTATATGGGTCATTTAAACAGGTATCTCCCTAATTACAATTGTAACCCTAATTAAACTTAGGTGTATAAATTAGCCTCATACTGATTGGAGAACATTTGTTTTCTTAGGGAGAGAAGTCATTCTGGATATGTATTTACTCTGTCTGCAACCTAGTTAGTACAACAATCCTGCTATATTTTATTTTCACAAATTATAAAAGAATTAAAGTTTTCTGGACCTAGTTATGCAATAAAAATGAAAACCACATTTTGATAACCTGGCAAGTCCATGGTCTGCGGAACACCAGGACGGAATGCATTATTAAACATGACACATGCTATAAGTGCTTTATGGCGTCACGTGAGGATGTCCATTCCTCTGGGAGTCTTTAGCTTCTGTGGTTTAGATATCATGGTGTGATCTAGCTAAGAAATGTTCAGATCAATTCTATATTAAATTATTTACTTTTTTCTTGGCAAAAAACCCCCATCTTTTAACATTCAAGTGGCTTAAGACCATTTTTATGAGAGAGCGCTGACGCAGCAGGATTTGCCATTTCTTAAGGATCTGTGTGTGCTGAAAAGTTGTGGACCACTGTCCAAAATCAAGTCTGGTTAGGCACCCCATGAAGATGCAACATGGGGCGTGCCCTACGGTTTGTCATGTTACAATGTAATGGAGTGATAGTCTGCTTACAAATTAAAGCGAGACAATTATGGCCTACAGACATCGTGCATAGTGACAAAGCATCAACAAGCAGTTAGGAGACTCTGACCACCACCGCAGAGGAGCCATTTCTTAAAAGGAGGATGTTTATTATGCCAGCAGCCACAATAATTCACACACTCCTTATACTGTTACTTTTTTCAAGCAAGACAGCTTCTCTAGTCCCCTACCTGTATGACCTCCCAAGGATATTCTTATAGGATCCTTTATATAGCACCTAGTAACCTATTGCTGACCTATAACACACCTACCAAGAGGTGCAAAAACCTACATTATAAAGGGAACCAAACTCTGTCCTTTGCCAGCATGCTCAGGTAAAGAGAGCCTGACAGAAAGGCTTCCCTTTTCTTTTATTGGTGAAAGTTGGCTTTGCACCATGCCTGAGTTTGTTGTCCCAAAAAGCTCACTGGCTTTTTAACCTCTGAAACCAGACTACTGGAGTTTTGTAATACTAGAGGAATATATATTCCATGCTAAATGCTTTTCTCAGGGGTCTGGTCTTTGGGACCCAAACAAACAAATGAAGTGAGCAAGCAAACTTGTTAGAAAGCATGATCTTGTCCTTCCTGATTCCCAGAGACAGTTTGCTCTGTCACTGCAAAGGTAAAAGAACTAGAAACACTTTAATGGTAGAGAGGAAAGCAAAATGCAGGGACCAAAGGACATTCAATCAAAACTGTCGAATGGTCTGTGCTGACGGGCTGTTTATGCCAACCCTCCCTCCTCATAATAAATCACCTCAGTTCAACTTCACTCTTCACCTGATCATCTTCTCCTCCCCCTCCACCCATTCCTTTCACTTCCCTTTTCATTCCATTTAGCGGACCCCCTCCTAACTAAATCTACCCCAAAGACAGACAGACAAACTATACCCTTAGTTCCACAATTAGCTACACAGCAAAAATACCTACAGCAGCGAGTCTGAGACTCTGCTGACTCGGGCTCATGCTACAGAGCTAAAATTACAGAGCAGCGTAGACATTCCCACTCAGGCTGGAGCCCAGCCTCTGTGTCTTTTTCCCCCTTGCCGAGTCTCTGAGTCCAAGCTCCCATCTGAGCCTGAATGGCTATACTGCTATTTTCAGCTCTGCAGCATGAGCCTCACAAGCCCAAGTCAGTTGACCTGGGCTCTGAAAGATGCGGTTGGGTGGCTTGTTTGGGTTTTTTTTGTTTTTTTTTTTTGCGCTGTACAGACATTCCTGAACATGACACTTGCTGCTATCACATTTTTCACTCTGCTTGTGTGGCCTACCCCTTCTCCCACCCTGTGTTTGTTTTGCTGATATAGACGCTTTTATATTTAAATTATAAACTCTTTGGGGCAGGGATTGTCTTTCAGTTCTGTGTTTGTACAGCCCCTAGCACAAGGGGTCCTGGGCCATGACTAGGGCTCCTAGGCTCTATGGAAATACCCAGAATAAAAGTAATATAGTAATAATACATCATCACAAAAGCCTAGATTTCAATGGCTGCTTGTAATTCTGTTTTTCCAGGTGCCTTTCTTATCCCCTACATCCTCTTCCTAATCATTGCTGGAATGCCCTTGTTCTACATGGAGTTAGCACTGGGACAGTACAACCGGGAAGGGGCTGCTACGGTGTGGAAAATCTGTCCAGTTTTCAAAGGTATGTGCCAGTTCTCCACTTGGTTTGAGGAGAATGTGAGGGTTTTAAACAAGTCTGATAACAAAAATAGAAAGGGTCTACTTTCTTTCTTAGATAGCAAGAAAGTTGATGGCCTATTTGATAAGCCTGTAATCTAAGGTCCTCTTGTGATCACAGAACAAGCCCAACACCGGAAAAAGCAGGGGAATCTTTTAAGGGGCGGGGGAGGAGAGTCTAGTTCAGACTCCTTGTTCATTGCAGTTTTTGGTCTCTTTGTCGAAACTCCATCAAGGGTGCCAATTAAAGCCATTTGTTGTGGTTGTTGTTTCTTGTGATGTAAACCTCACATGTTAAACTCTTTGGAATCACAGATTCAAATCCCAGAAGGGTCCAGTGAGCCTGTCACAATTCTTACATAGATAAATTAGGTTTTCCATTCAGTTTATTCTCTAGGGTTTTCTTTTTGAGGCATTGAAAGCCAAAATGTTACTTGTTTTGCTGGGGGATTAAAACTCCAAGGGCACTGACTATGGCCCAGATCCTCAAAGGTATCTAGGTCCCTAACTCCCATTGGTGTTAGGTGCCTAAATAGCTTTGAGGGTCTGTGCCTAAAGGTCTCTAATCCCCCTACTGTTGCATTGCACGCTGAGTACTAGGTGCTTACATTTTCTCCATCGAACAGGTGGCTGCGTTCCCAGTGGTATCTTGTGTGGGTGTGTAGATATTTGTGTGGGTGTTGAGATATAGAGCTCAGTGCTTGTGATATCCTTCAGGATGTAAGATATGATATGCTTTGTGTAAAATATTAATACTTTATGAGGCCCCATCAAGAAAGTGCCAACTAGCAATGATTTTGGATTGCTACCATCCTGTACCCGATTGGGTCCATGTAGCCTTCTAGGTGAAAGATTCTGCAATTCAGAATTGTGTGAAATGACTGAAAACTAACCCAAACCCACAACATGTGTGCTCACCAAGCTTCTTGGTTTTCTTAGAAGCATGAAGTCCAGACAATGTAAAACTATCGGTGAACGGTAATGAGCTTCACAGTGGCAATCTCCTCTTGGCTGAACTGGAGCTTGACCATGGGCTATCTTCAGATAATTTTAGGCTTTTATTGTTGTGTTGAACTCTTGTAGCATTTTCCTTTTTGTGGGGGTTAGAACTCAAAACCAAGAGAAAAGTGCAGTTTTACTGCATTCTGCTTTGAGATCATGCTCTCAATCGCACCCAAAACTCATAGTGAAGTTCGAGATGAATAGACAAGCATAGATGGACACCTAATTAAAAGTAGGCATGAAACCTTTCAAAATATAACTGCTTAGTTTTGCCCATTTCTGTTGTTATCCTGTTTCTAAACCCATGAGCGATATTCCTCCCACCCCCAGAATCATGACATCCCTAGTCAAAAAATATTCTGACTAATAGGTTTCGAAGTAGCTGCCGTGTTAGTCTGTATCTGCAGAAAGAACAGGAGGACTTGTGGCACCTTAGAGACTAACACATTTATTTGAGCATAAACTTTCATGGGCTACAGCCCACTTCATCGGATGCATAGAATGGAACATATAGTAAGATATATATATATACACACACACACAGATAAGTTGGAAGTTACCATACAAACTGTGAGAAGCTAATTAGTTAAGATGAGCTATTATCATGTACATTGGCCAAACTGAACAGTCTCTACGCAAAAGAATAAATGGACACAAATCTAACATCAGGAATCATAACATTCAAAAACCGGTAGGAGAACACTTCAACCTCTCTGGCCACTCAGTAACAGATTTAAGGGTGGCAATTTTGCAACAGAAAAGCTTCAAAAACAGACTCCAACGAGAAATTGCAGAGCTTGAATTAATATGCAAACTAGATACCATTAACTTGGGTTTGAATAGAGACTGGGAGTGGCTGGGTCATTACACATATTGAATCTATTTCCTTAAGTTAAGTATCCTCACACCTTCTTGTCAACTATCTAAATGGGCCATCTTGATTATCACTACAAAAGTTTTTTTTCTCCTGCGATAATAGCTCATCTTAACTAATTAGCCTCTCCCAGTTTGTATGTATATATATTTCTTCTTACTATATGTTCCGTTCTGTGCATCTGATGAAGTGGGCTGGTAGCCCACGAAAGCTTATGCTCTAATAAATTTGTTAGTCTCTAAGGTGCTACAAGTACTCCTGTTCTTTTATTCTGACTGATGTTAGCTAATTTTTTTTAATGGCAATGGGAATTTTACTTGTCAGGACTGTAACATTTGGCTTGGAGGATCTCACAAAGTCTGATCCATAAACCATTCAAGTCAATGAGAGTCTTTCCATTGACTTCAGGCATGACAAGAAGATGAGAAAGGAAACTCAAGGTTTATTTCATGTTTAGGATTTCATGTAGAGGCTTGTTAACAATCCAGCTGTTTTTTAAGCTGAGACTGTCAAATCTGCCTAAGTGTGCATTAGAGTCCATTGCTAAATGTTTGTATTTCTGAATAGTATAATACAAGGCACATAGAATATTGGATTCTAAAAGAATAAGAAATATGGTTATATTTTAAATCCCAGCAAAGGGATACTGTTAGTAAAGTTTCAATCACAGCTTCTAATAAGATGCATAAATATATTTCAGTACTTTGTTAAATACACCAGTTCTTTGGATATATCTCTGGGTTAACGCAAATCTGTTACTGAAATGAAATGTGCATGGTCTACCCTCAAATTTATAATAGTTTATCTAAATGAAAAAGCACTATAGTGCTAGTTTTAGCTATGAAACCTAAGACTCTAATCTTAATGAAGCACTCCCATAAGGCAAGGGATCAAAAATGTATCTTGTAACCTTTACAGCACAGCCCATTTGCATCACAAGACTTTATAGGGTTTATATGAGCAGTCTGGGTGGGACAAAGTTAAATAAATAAACGGCTAGATCCAGAAACAATGGAGCAAATTCATACCTGGAGTTATCCTACTGTTGTCAGTGGAGTGACCCCGGGGATAGGTTTGGTCTAGTTCCTTTGAATTTTCACATTAAATTGCAACCATTTTCTCTCTAGAATTGAGGAAACAGCATATATGTGTGAGGTGGTTTTAAAAACAAAATCCCCCCCATTTCTATGCAGTATACAGTCTTTGAGGTGGGTATGTACATTCTAACATACATCATCTAGGGTGGTTTCCACTGTTTTCTTTACTATCATTTATCAATACAGTTTCACTGCCAACATGCAGAAGCCATCCAAACCCCATGATTTTTAAGACAGTTTCAAGTTTGTTTTCACCACCTTTTGCTAGAAGTCAGAGATAAACAAACTGATTCCTATGTAAAACATTAGTTAACTTTCTCCTGACAAACACAGACCATGCTTGACACAATTTACTCTTTAGACTGTTGGCTCCTAAGGATTTGGCAGCTACTCCTTACATGAACTGAAAACCTCTTTCGATTACGTAATGGAACAATATTATTGTAGCAGTTCCACAGACCATCTCCCCAAGTCTCTGGTACTCTATCTACAGCAATCTGTGTCTTCCTTGATTTGTCAAGGTGCATAAAAACCTGGTGGCATGTGATTATCAGCAAGACTCTGATGCCATTATTAGTATCCTGTTTCTGGACTGATTAAAACTATAAATGAAGGCTTACACTTAGGTATTGAGAGACCACAGTGATGCTGCCTGTAGAAGACTGGATAGTCTTTGTCTCTTTAGAGATAATCCAAATGGCTTAAATGTAGCATTCGGCAAACACTGCTGCCCATATAAGAAAGAAACTGATGGCACTGGCTGAAGCATAGCAAGCTTCTTGTCACAATTCTGAGAACGAACCTCCACTCTGACCTGTTGTTAGTACCAGAGTACCCCCTCAGAATATGTGACAGTGACTAATTGCTTACAAGGGTCTGTTTTCATGGTGAGAACAAATGCTCACTGAAGAAAGCCTACACTGAAACTCCAGACACACCTCATGATATTCCAAAGGAACTCAGATCTAGAAGGGCCAATAGGGAATGTGCAGGGTTGAGTTCACCCCAGGCTGGAGGGTCCGTACAAGGCCCTGCATACTATTTAAGGATTTAGGGTTAAGGTCTGCCCTTAGTTACACTCTGCAGATCCATTGAGGTAATACAGTATGGGGTTGAAAGTCAGGGTAAAATTTGGCCCAAAGGTTGAAATTCACCGTGGTTTGAAGGGTCAGCCAAATGCCCGGGACCCACTTAAATCCCTCATTGGGGGTTCCACAGTCTCCACACACCTTGCATAATCCGGAATGAGTTTTCATGTTAGATTCATGTAAACCAGCGCAGAGAATGGCAATGGGAATATGCCAGGAGAGGAAATCAGTCTGTAGTCACAAGGCTGTTTGCAGGTTGGGATGGGCAGCAGCCACTATTGAAGCCCACAGATGGGAACAGCAGCTGTAGGGGTACTTCACTGCAGCCCCATGCTCTGGCCTTAACTTTACGGGGAGGGAGGTGGATTACCCTGAACCTGAACTTTACTCAGGTGAAGCGAATGGCCCTATTAACACAGGGCTTATGGCCCTCTGCACTGGGTGAGTTTTCCCCTATGAATACAGAACACGGACTCTAGCAGCGCTGGATCAGAGCAGAGTCGTGTCCTTTAATAGCAAAATTTCCAGTTTCCAGCAAACACAACAAGCTTTATTAAACACCAGGTCCGTTTCATGGAATTATTATTTTAAATGGTCAGTTTTTGTGACCAGCCACTATATTTATAACCCTTTGCTAAGTCCTTACAAAATACTAGGCAAAAACAAGCTTGTGTTTAGGAGCTGCCCTTATCTAATTTAAAAAAAAAAAAAAAAAAAGCATGGTTCTGCTTTCAGACAATACGGTTGGAGTATATTGTTGTATGTGAAATGCAATGTATAATCTAGTTTTCCTTTGTCTTTAGGTGTAGGCTATGCCGTGATACTCATAGCTCTTTACGTGGGTTTCTACTACAACGTTATCATAGCTTGGTCTCTGTATTATCTGTTTTCATCATTCACATTTGAGCTTCCCTGGACAAACTGCGGCAACAGCTGGAATAGCCTAAACTGTACAGATCCCAAACTCTTCAACGCCTCGGTGCTTGGCAATGGCACCAAGTACTCCAAGTACAAACTCACTCCTGCTGCTGAATTTTATGAGTAAGTGTCGAGTCGCCTTTGCTGTTGCTTCAAATTTCCAGTTTAGTTGAGGTGTTTGTTCACATGTCTCTAAAAGCCTCTCTCCGGTAAGGAGCATGGCCTAGGGGACAGGTCCTTAGACTAGGAGTCAGGAGACCTGAGTTATACACCTGGTAGTACCACTGACCTGCTGTGTGACTTTAAGCAAGTCACACGTTCCTTCTGTGCCTCAGTTTCCCCAGTTCAGCTAAGTGATGCCACTAAGTGCTGTGGAGTCAGAGACAAAGCACAAAATCTCCGCCCTGCCCCCCCACCCACATGCAGCTTTTTTTCATTCTACACCAAGATGACACTTGTGTTAGGCAAAGGAATAATACATACAGAATAAAGCTGTCTGAATAGTTTGAAACTAATCATTTACCCAACAAATTTAGCTTCTCTGCTTGCCAAATATCTCTGAGGAGATCTCCTTTTCCTTTTCTGCTTCAGCAGCTCGGTGAAATGGGATGAAGCACAGTGCAGGGAGGAGAGGGTAGCAGTTGCAAAACACAGGGCTTGATCCTATTCCCATTTAAGTGAGACTGAGTTCTGCTGTTGATGGTAACAGGGGCAGAATCAGTCACATAGGCTTTGAGACACTTCAAACTAAAAGTCCTCTTCGGGTGCGTAGTGGTAACAGGACCCATTGCAATTGGGAATACAATTGAATGATGAAGATACACTCTATTGTCTCAGACATTCTTGTTTTGTAAGTCTTACTATGACTGATTGGGTTCTGGACCCTTCTCCTCTTCCAGGGAAAGATGTGATTGGGTTAGTGAAAGGGGAGCACTGGCTGGACACCAGACTAATCTCATCCACTACTAAATTGATTCAGATTATTAATTAGTATTTCTGTTTTGTAATTGTAACCATGGCAATGTATATTTATCTAGTGAGCACTGACCATGTTCTCAACACTGGGAACAGTCATCATTCCCCCCACAAGCAGCCTAACCTGTTCAGCGTGGCATACATGGCTGGGCTACGGTTGGGATCTTGTGGGTCCATGGTTACTGCACTGACACATTAATGACTCGTTTTTCCTCTTTAATGTTAGTAAATTTGAAAAGTTGGGCGTGGCATACAGTACAACCATTGGGAGAAGATACAGGTTTGCTAAACTCTGTGCTTTGCAAGGGTCTACTGAGTGGCTGTGATGGTATAGGAACTTGATACAATGCTGAGTAATGTCAGCCAGGAAATTGGCCTCTTCCCGACAGAAAAAAACCACTTCTCTTAGTATCGGGGTTAATTACAGCAAAAAGATGCAGTAAATATTCTACACTGGAGACTATGCTATTGGGGTGAAAGAAGAAGAGATCTGAACAATCTGGGAACACTTCCAAGTGGTAATTACACAACTTCAAATTTTAATGTTAATGTCATTTTAGAAAAGTTTTCTCTTAAAACTTGTGTGTATTCTTGGAGTCAGATTTTTAAAAGGTATTTAGGTGCCTAACTGATTTCCATGGGAGCTGGGCATTTAATTAGCTTTAAAAATCTGGCCCTCAGATTTGTTACAACAATCATCATAGTCATCTTACTTGTTCTGCCTACTTCTATATTGCTCACTACTTGTCTAGTAACCTTTGGGTTATATCCATTTTGCCATCACATCTTACTTAGAGTTAGGAATTGTTGTGGTTCTCTCTGAATAAGACACTCACCATTCTTCTAGGTGGTGTGATATCTGACACCTTTAAGCCTGAGTAAACTTTTACTGCTCTGTGAAACACAACTCAACTTGTGACTCTGCTAAAACACAAGACTAAAAGTCAAGAGATCTGTGTTCTCAGCTCTGCCAAGTAACATACATCTCTGGTGGGATTTTAAAAAAGCCGAAGTGAATTAGGAACATACATGGCATTTGGCTTGCCCTGGGATTCATAGTCCTAAAACTTGGGCATTTTTGAAATCCCAACACCTGTATTTACTAAGAAATAGATTATATGGCAAAAATGGGAAGAGTAACAAGGCTAATAACTTAACCTGTCTATGACCTCTGATTGCCCATCTGTAAAATGTGGGAGAAGAATCACAAAGTGTATGATGTGCTCAGATCCAGGGTTTTGATTAGCTTATAAAGCTCAGTTTGGGATCTGAGGTTACTCAAAGTTTAGAGGTGTTCAGATCCAAGCTCCAGAATTGGATTCAACCTTTTAATAAAGGTGTCTCTTTCAGTGGTTCTAACTCACACCCATGAAGTGTTTACAGAATGGAGAACCAAATCCATAGTGTGTCAGTTCCATGTTGCATGTGACATGGTCAGCAAATGGGTGTAAGTGATAAAGTAATGTTAATTGACACTGCTATGGCTTTTGGTGGGTTTCCAAAAAATGTGTGTAACTGACACTGAGGGACCTGAAAGTAAGGGTGTAGCAGGAAATCACATTAAGAAGGAGGTTCTGGTTAAAATAAGACCTGTTTTCTTTTCCTGACATAAACCTCTTCTGCCCCTTAGTATGTCACTTACACTAATCTTGCACATGTATTGCATGGCTGATTAGTGAATTTATATTAATTTTTTAACCATCTTGCCCCACTGCTTGAATCACTACTGAATTTGAGATTTGTACAGGAATTTCACCCACTTATTCCTGGAGGATTGTCTTCATTACTTTTTCCTAAACAAATCTTTGCTGCAGGACACCTGCACTTCCTAATGAGATAGACTGTTGCAATGCATAGCTCTTTTCACACAGTTACTCTATCGCTTTGCATTAGAAATATTATTTTCTTGGGTTGGCTAACTGGTTTCTGATGGGTGGAGTCAGGGTAGAGCATGTCTGTTTAATCTGTGGAATTGCAAAGGTTTCTAACCACTTTTATTGGTTTAAGGTTTGTTGTGTTGGCCACTGTATGATATGCATAATGGTAAGAACAGTATTTAGGGCAATAGTTTTGCTGTGGGAGGTTTCAACCTCTCTTTTGTGTTTTGGCTTGTCATCTGGAGAAACATTGAGCTCTCACTGGGGAAAATAGAAAAGAAGGAAAAAATCCACCCTGTGATCAGAGCATAAGCGAACAAAGCTACAGCTCCTATCCAGCCTCCATATTTTTGAAGTGGGCTCTAATGAGGCTGCTGTGGTGGCACATACATAGGGACAAATCTGGGTGTGAGCTCTACCCTCCTTTGTGCCACTGCTCCTTAGAATCATAGAAGTGTAGGACTGGAAGGGACCTCAGTAGGTCGTCCAGTCCAGTCCCCTACACTCATGGCAGGACTACATAGTAACTAAACCATGCCTGACAGGTGTTTGGCTAATCTGCTCTTGAAAACCTCCAGTGATGGAGATTCCACAAACTCCCTAAGCAATTTGTTCCAGTGCTTATCTATCCTGACAGTTAGGAATTTTTTCCTAATGTCCAACCTAAACCTCCCTTGCTGCAAATTAAGCCCATTGCTTCTAGTCCTATCCTCGGAGGTTAAGAGCAACAATTTTTCACCCTCCTCCTTGTAAAAACCTTTTATGTACTTGAAAACTATCATTTGCCCCCCTCAGTCTTCTCCTCTCCAGACTAAACAAACTCAATTATTTCAATCTTTCCTCATAGGTCCTATTTTCCAGACATTTAATAAAGTTTGTTGTTCTTCTCTGGACTTTCTGCAATTTTTCCACATATTTCCTGAAAAGTGGCACCCAGAAATGGACACAATATTTCAGTTGAGGCCTTATCAGCACAGAGTAGAGTGGAAGAATTACTTCTTATGTGTTGCTTACAACACTCCTGCTAATACATCCCAGAATGATGTTCGCTTTTTTTTTTTTTTGCAGCAGTGTTACACTGTTGACTCATATTTAGCTTGTGATCCACTATGACCCCAAATCCCTTTCCGCAGTATGTCTTCCTAGGTAGTTATTTCCCATTTTGTATGTGTGCAGTAGATTGTTTCTTCCTAAGTAGAATGCTTCACATTTGTCCTTACTGAATTTCATTCTATTTACTTCAGGCCATTTCTCCAGATCATTTTGAATTTTAATCCTACCCTCCAAAGCACTTGCAACCCTTCTCAGCTTTATAAGTATACTCTCTATGCCATTATTCTAAATGATTGATGATGATATTGAACAGAACCAGACCCAGGACTGATCTCTGCAGGACCCCACTAGATATGCCTTTCCAGCTTGACCCTGAACCATTGATAACTACTCTCTGGGAACGGTTTTCCAAGCAGATATGCATTCATCTTATGGTAGCTCCATCTAGGTTACATTTCCCTAGTTTGTTGATGAGGAGGTCATGCAAGACAGTATCAAAAGCCTTATTAAAGTCAAGATATACCACATCTACCCTTTCCCCCATCCACAAGGCTTGTTACCTTGACAAAGAAAGCTATTAGGTTGGTTTAACATGATTTGTTCTTGACAAATCCATGTTGACCACTACTTATCATTTTCTAGGTGTTTGCAAATTGATTGCTTGATTATTAGCTCCATTATCTTTGTGGGTAACAAAGTTAAACTGAGTAGTATGTAATTCCCCAGGTTGTCCTTATCCCCCTTTTTATAGATTGGCACTATATTTGCCCTCTTCCTGTCCTCTGGAATCTCTCCTGTCTTCCAGGAGTGTTTTAAGATAATGACTAATGGCTCAAATATCTCCCCAGTCAGCTTGTTGAGTATTCTAGGATGCATTTTATCAGGCCCTGGTGACAAAGATATCTAACTTGTCAAATCTTTAATTTGTTCTTTCCCTATTTTAGCCTCAGATCCTACCTCATTTTCACTGTGTCAGACACGGATTGCTACTAAATTTTTTGGTATAACAAAAAAATGCATTTAGCAGTTCCACCATTTCAACATTTTCTGTTATTGTCTTTCCCCCTTCATTGAGTAATGGGCTGACCCTGGGCTTGGTCTTCCTCTTGCTTCTAATGTATTTGTAAAATGTTTTCTTGTTACCTTTTCTGCCTCTAGTTAGTTTAATCTTTCCTTGGCCTTTCTAATTTTGCCCCTACATGCTTGTGTTGCATGTAT